TCTTAGGAGTGCACTTCCATCATCCATGTTGGCAGCTGGAGGGGGGAGTGCTTGCTTTTTGAAAGCTACTACTAGAAGACAACAGTCACTTCACTTACATATTTTGACATGTAACCTGCTAAAAGCAGGCCTCGTGTACACACCTGTTTTGTACCGAAACTTGAATCAGTAGAATTAATCTACCAAGAATTTGTATCTAGCCTGACTCACACTGTGGGAATACAGAAGCTCTGGAGGAACATTAACAACCTGGGCCTTAGGCTGAGGTCACAAACCTTGATCAACTCTGTTCACAAAACTCATTCTATAAACAAATATTCACATACTCACTAAGTTCCTATCTTCCTTCCTCTCTTTCTATCTACCTACCTTGCTTACTACCTACCAATCCCTGGCACTGTTTGGGTGCCTGGGAAACTCCAGTGAACATGGTTCTTCTAAGAAGCAAAGGCTAAGAAAAGTTTTATAAATGTTGTAGAAGAACAACAGAACAATGGTTCGGCTGATTTTGCCTTAGCTCTTCTTACTTGCTTCTCACATACAATATAGGTTTAGAAGCCAAACTCATATGGAAAGGGCCTGTCTAAGGATACATATTTCTCCAGATTCTGTGCTATTGTGCTGTAAACTGGTTGGAGTTTGCATCTCTGCAAAAATTCTCTTTGCTGAAACATTTGCCAAACCGACTGTGGTAACTGTCACATCAGAGGTCTGTCCCAGCTCCTGAAATGGACCCGGATGTATGTTGGGCACATGCTGCTTGCGTGGGTAACTGCTGTGGTTGGTTAGATCTGGGAAAACGCTTGGTGTGAGTCTGGCAGTGGATGGCAGATCCCAAGAAACAGGAGGTTTTCACCAACCTCATTTTGACATAAAAATGCAAATTTATAAACATAAACACTTGATTGAGCCTTAGATTTTGGTACTTGATACATCTTTGAGGGAACGATTATTATATCCAAGGACCTTGATTTTTCAATTCACTGAAGCTGGGCCTAAATGGCCATCATCATAATCTGGTTTATTTGCTTCTTTACTGTGGATTCAAAATCAGTTACAAGGAACTGACAGACATGGAGTTTAAATATGTCAGTACGTTAAGGCAATTTAAGACATGTGTCACATGAAAAAACTCCTTTCCTGAATCATACCACACAAGTTTGAGAAGGATTTTGCTGGCTACCTGGACTGAACTTGTGGAACAGCATTATATAAATGATAGAGTATCCATTACCTTGTACAGTGATGGCACTGGAATTTGGGGACATGCCAGCACAGTGATAACAGTTTAGGAGAACCTTGAGTGGTTTGTATATCCCAGGCCTATTCAATTCTATACTCAGTAAACCCGAGTGCTTCGCACAATCCTTGGATGTTAGGAAGTAATGACAGACTTATGCCGATATCATTTTTTTTTTTTTTTTTGAGTTGGAGTCTCACTCTGTCACCCAGACTGGAGTGCA